CGCTGCGCCTGGAGGGTGTCCGGATCGGCCCCGAGGTGGACCCGGTGTCTCCGCTGCGTGGCCGCCTGCTGCTGGTGAGCGCCACCGCGCCTCCTCCATCTGGACCTGTATGGGCTGGGCCTCCGATGCCCACTTACACCCCTCCCCGAGCCCTGCCCTACCTTAACCCCACAGCCAGAACCAACCTACTTCCTGGATTGGGTGCCGACAGCCCAGCGCCCCCTCCCCAGACTGCCCTGAGCCCCAGCACGCAGGCGTCAAAACCTGTGAACCAGGTGCCCGCCCTTCCAAACACGTTTCCAAACCCTGGCCTGGATTTCTGTGTGCCCGGCCCCAACAACCCCTTTTCTTTCCCTTCCCTTCCCTGTGCCTGTTGCCCTTCGCCCCACAGATGGACATGGTGGATGCTGAACAGGAGGTGCCGGTGGAAGGCTGGATTGCGGTGGCCTACGTGGGCAGGGAGCAGGCGGCCCAGTTCCACCAGGAGAAACCGGGCAGCAGCCCCCAGGCCTATCCCAAAGCCCTGGTCCAGCAGGTGCGGGTGGGGTATGTGGAGGGAGAGGCGCTGGAGGAAGGATGCCCAGACATCTGCTGGAGCCTGACTACCAGCTGTGCCTCCAGAGTTTCCAGAAAAGCCCTGGGCTGGGGCTGGTCTGGAAACCCCTATTTGGAGAATTGCACCAATGTGATGTTGAACCCGGGAGGTGGGAGGCGGTGAGGGAGAGTTCAGGAAGCTGGACTAAGCTCCCTGCTGATCAGATGGGGGAGTTCCTGCAAAGAAGGCATGGCAGTGTTTGGGTCTCACAGAACTTGGGAGAGGGCAGGAGGAAGAGGAGTTTCTGCCCTTGGCCTTGAAGAGCTTATCCCAATCTACACTGGAAGGACTCACTGCAGAGCCAGGGGCTAGAGAGCTCTGGCTGCAGGTGGCGGGGGAGGGGTGTGGGCAGGTGTGTGCCAGCCTCCCATCCTCTCCTTCTGCAGATGCAGCGAGCCCTCTTCCTGGGAGCCTCTGCCCTGCTTCTCCTCATCCTGAACCACAACGTGGTCCGAGAGGTGAGCCTGGAACAAGTGGTGGGGGTACAGGCTGGGTACGAGGGACTAAGGCCTGCTGACCTCCCTGTCCCTCTGCAGCTAGACATATCCCAGCTTCTGCTTAGGCCAGTGATCGTCCTTCATTATTCTTCCAACGTCACCAAGCTGTTGGAGGCACTGCTGCAGTGAGTTGGGGTTTGGGTTTCAGAAGGACTGGGCCTGAGTGTGGAGGTTCCCTGTCTTTGCCGTGGGCTCGGGGGTCTCAGGACCAGGGCTTTTCCTGTTGGCCTGAAGACAGCCACCAGATCTGAAAACTTGATGGGGGACTGGAAGGAGGAGGCAGGGCTGGCCTGGAGAGAGGAGGCAGCTCTGTGGGCAGAGGGATTGGCATGGGAAAGAGGAACCTGGACATTTGGTTGAGAGGCTAATCCCTGGGTTTATGGTATCCCTGGTCAAGCTTGTGTGACTCATAGAAAAGCCAATGGTCCGGGTAGCCCTGGAGGCCAAAGCAGTAGGGCTGGGTGTGATGTTCTAGGTTATCCCACGCAGGACTGGGAGTGGCCTTCTAAGGGCCCTTCTGTCTGACTCTCAGTGCCTCTTCCTTCCAGGAGGACCCAGGCCACTGCTGAGATCACCAGCGGAGAGTCCCTGTCAGCCAACATCGAGTGGAAGCTGACCCTGTGGACCACCTGTGGCCTCTCCAAGGATGGCTATGGTGGCTGGCAGGACCTGGTGTGCCTGGGAGGCAGCCGTGCCCAGGAGCAGGTGGGTGTCGGGACTATATGGGGCCAGGGGAGGAGGCACTGTTGGGCTATGCGTATGGCCTTGTCTGAGAAGTCCTGTGGACTCTCACTGGTGGTGGTGATGGCCACTCCCACTTCAGTGGGTTGTCGTGATGCTGGTGGCACCTGGCCCAGGGCCATTCGGTGTTGATGGTCACTCCTGGTCAGAAGCCTTCTTGGGCTCTCTCCATTGTCTGCAGAATAAAGTTCAGACTCCTTCCTTAGCCTGGCTTTCAGGGTTCTCCTGGTCTGATGCACTCATCCCGTTTCTCCTGTTCTTTACCCTCCATTCCCACCGCTGTGTACCATTTGCTGCTTACACACATGACTGGAGACCCTGCTGCTGGGCCTCTGGCAGGCTTGGCCGTTGGCATGGATGCACTTTTTCCCCGTCTGTCCTGTCTCCCAGAATCTTTGTTCATTACTCATCCTGCCTGTTTTCTCCTATGGGCTCCTAGTATGAAGTTTGTCCATTTTTCCTTTTTTAATTTTTAATCTTACTGTGATTTGGGTGAAAGTTTACAGAGCAAATTCACTTTCCATTCAGCAGTTCATAACATCTTGTTTCATGACATTGACTGCAGTCCCCCACAATGTAACAGCTCTCTTCCCACTTTCTCCCCATAGTTACCTCTTCCCTGTGTCCTTCCCCCCCGGGCACTACCCCCCCCAGCTGTCTCCCTGTGCAAACACTGCCCTTCTATTTTCTCACAATTCACCCCTTCAAGGAGTGTATCTATCTGATGTAAATGTTCACCTCATATGCCTGTCTATTGTTTGGCTGGAAACCACGGGAGTGAGTTCACTTCCAGGCCTGAGGGTACCTAGGGGCCATACATAGTCTCACTGGTCTTTATCAGAGTAGTAAACCTGGCGTTTTCTTTTTTTTAATGATTTTATGAGTTTTGTTCCGCATAGTTCTCCCACTGTATCCAGGATCTCCTGCACTGATCCCTTTCTGAGTGGTTGACAGTGGTAGCCGGGCACCATCTAGTTGTTCTTCTGGTGGGCTAAGGTTCACATGGTCCACTAGTCCCTTGCTGCTTATTTCCATATATCTTTGGTTTGCTTCATTCTTTGCTGTGGATAAGGAGAGACCCATTGATGGCCACTTGCAAACCTTTAAGTCTCCAGTTGCTACTCACCAAAGAAGGATGCACAGGGCCCGCAGGTTTTAAAGTTTTAATGCACCTTCCCAGTACTTTCCCTACGTGAGGCACTGGGGCTTCGTGGTGACCTCGCCAGGCGTGGTTCCCACCTCCTACCGAGAGGCTGGCAGGCAGTCAAGAAACACAGAGTTAGGTGTGAAGAGGGCCAGGAGGGGCTAGCAAGTGGGGAGTGCTTCCTGGAGCAAGGGGTGCCAGCGGCAGTCTCCGTGGAAGGGAAGACTGTGTGGAAAGGGCAAGGAGCGTGGAGCGCTGAGAGGAGAGCAGCAGCGGGAGGACTGAGGTGGGCCACGTCTCTGGCGAGGGCCTGCAGGCTGGGCCAGGCTGAGGGGGGGCCCTCTTCTGAGAGTGTGCCCAGCAGGGTTCTCCATCAGGTTTGTGGTTGAGGTCGTCTGGCTGCTGGGAGGGAGTGGGCTGGTGAGGCTGGAGGCAGGGGACCAGAGAGTAGCAGAGGGTTGTGTAGGGGGTGGGGTGAGAGGGTTAGGAGAGAGAAGCAACAGGACAGGGCTTGGCTTGCTCTGGGAGTGAGGAGGTGCGAAGGCCCGGCTCGGATGGGGCATGGTGGCGGACGCTGAGAGAGCGGATCAGGAGGACACGTGTGGTCTTGGGTTAGGGTCTGTGGAACTGCCAGAGGGAAGAGTCCATGTGCAGAGACGTGGGTTTGTTGATCAGGACAGGCCTTGGCTGGGGGTCTCGTGTGGGAGGCACGGAGGTGGCAGAAGAGGAAGCCGGGGGCACGCAGGGGCATGGTGCTCTCGGTCCACACTTACTTGCTTGGTCCATGATAGACCTCACTGGGGGAGGAGTATGGAGCTGCTGCAGGCCCTGATGTCCCGCCCCTTTCCCAGAAGCCCCTGCAACAGCTGTGGAATGCCATCCTGCTGGTGGCTATGCTCCTGTGCACCGGCCTCGTGGTCCAGGCTCAGCGGCAGGCTTCACGGCACAGCCAGCGTGAGCCAGGAGCCCAGGTGGGAGCCCAGGTGGGAGGCCGGGGGAGCCCTGGCCAGTCCCAGCCTTCATACCAGTAAGACTGTACCTGCCCCTCCTCCACAGGTGGACCTGTTCAAGCGCCGCGTGGTGCAGAGGCTGGCGTCCCTCAAGACCCGGCGCTGCCGTCTAAGCAGGGCCGCACAGGGCCCCCGGGAGCCGGGCGCCGAGACCTGTGCTGTGTGTCTAGACCAGTTCTGCCACAAGCAGGTTTGTGCCCTGGGCAGAGACCAGCCGTAGGCTGACCCATGATGTCCCCTACGCTGCTTCAGAGAGATCCCAGCCACCCCAACCAGGCCCACTGCTGGGCTCTAGGGCTGTGGAATGGAGGGAGGGGCCGGGCCAGGCCAGGCCACTGGAGGCTTGGGTTTCCAGGTCAGCCGTGGGGCCCAAGGATGGGCACCCACAGTACCCCTCTCCCCTGCAGTGGCTCCGGGTGCTGCCCTGTAAGCATGAGTTTCACCGAGACTGCGTGGACCCCTGGCTGCTGCTGCAGCAAACCTGCCCGCTGTGCAAATTCAACGTGCTGGGTGAGCAGGGGCGGGGGCCCTGGGCCAGTGCCCCCGGGGCCCCACCTGACACCTCTTTCCCTGCTCTTTCTCCGCCTCTCTCAGGAAACGGCTACTCAGATGATTAGCTGCCGGCCTACACCCTAGCCTCCTGGACCAGGACACCAGGGTGGATGGGGCAGAGGACCCTGCGGGTAGGACGAAGGAAAGGACCCATTCCCTGCTCGGGGGCAGAGTGTCCTGCTGTGTCCACACTAGGAAGGTGGGGCCAGCATCACCAAGACAGGATGAAGGGCCTGGGTGACCAGCCGGTTCCGGAAGAGGCCGCTCGGGGCCCTTCTCTGCAATCCTGGGGCTTCGTGTCCGCCCTCTAGGCAGCTTCCCAGCGCCCTGAGCGAGAGGGTGGAGGACAGTGCAGCTGCTCCCCAGGCGCAGGGCCTCTCTCCAGGCCATCCCTGGAGGTGGAGTCTGCAGTGTCTTGTGCTTATTTATTGGGGGGTGAGTTAAGGGAGGAATTTCCTGGCCTTTGGGGCACCTTGGCCTGACCGTCTTTCAGGACACATCTCAGTCAAGGCTGTGATGTTAGACCCAGACACCCCACCCCCAACTTGCTTGCTGCCCTCAGCAGTGGTCCCTGCTGTGCGCCCAGCTTGGCCCTGCCCTGGGCCTGGCTGGGGCCTGCGGCCTTAGAGACCAGGCAGTCCTGTGCTGCTTGGCAGGGTTACATGTGCCACCCAGCGTCCCTGAGGGCACAGGACAAACATCGTGCGTCTTCCAGGGGTATCAGTGTCTGTTTTTGTAGGGAAGATTTGGGGTGGGGAAGGTTTATTATTAAAATAAAAATGGATCTATTTTAACAGAAGATTAAAAAACTTTTGTGAGTTTTCTAAGATATAGTCACCTTGGGCTCTCCTCCCTGTGGGAGGCAGAATTCTACAGTGGCCCCCAGGACTCTGCCCCCATCCCCACTTTGTGTTCATACCCTATATAATTGCTAGAATCTAGTATGTTCATTTTCCTCCTGTGGTTTGATTACGTTCTTTGGCAGTGAACCATAAGGTAAGTATCCAAGTGGGCCTGATTGGTGCAGTGGATTACTTGGTATGGTTTTTCTAGCTAGGAACTCTGGTGGCATAGTGCCTAAGGTATTTGACTGCTAACCTGAGGCTGGCAGTTCAAACCCACCAGCCACTTGGAAGGAAGATTGGGTGATTTACTTCCTTAGAGATACTGCCTCGGGAATGCAAAGTTAGGGTTGCTGTGAGTCAAAATTGAGTGAGTTTGGTTTTTTTTCCCCCCCAGTCAAGTCTTTGTGACTCCCACCAGATTACTGGGTGGGACCATGCAAATAAGGTGTATGGAACTGGAAGGTGGGGATTGGTTAGTTTTGCTTTGCTGCTGGGCTTAAAATGGGCCCTCCCAGAGGCAGAAAAGGGGATCTCACTGCTAGCAGGAAAAGAACCAGAGTTGGAGTGGAGCGCATCCTTGGACCCAAGATCTCCTAGGACCTGTGATCCCTGCTAAGATCTCCTTCATGGAAAGATGGCAGAGGTGCCTGCCTGAGAGACAGCAGCAGCGGAACCAAGAGGCATGAGACAGCAGCGGGCTTGCCTGGCCCACAGAGTGAGGAAGCTGAGCGCTCTCAGGCAGGCGGCTTGCTGGCAGGGTGGGGTGCACCTAGGTGTACCTATCGGCAGCACCAAAGAGCTTCATAACACTTGCCCAAGCAGGACAGAGGACTCACTGGCCAAGGCCCAGACAGGAGACCCTGAGGGTATAACAGAGGGGCGTGTCCTCACCAAAGAACTGTATCCTGAGTGTTCCTGAACTTGACCTGTTACTTCATTAATAAACCCTTTCATTGTGAGTATTGTCTGTGAGTTCTGTGTGACCATTGCACCATATTATTGAACCCAGCAGAGAGAGATGGCTGCTGTCAGAGTAAGAAGGTTGGAGGGTGGTGGCATGTATGGCCTCATGGGAATAAGGCTTGGGCTGTTGATGGTGACCGTTTCCCCCTCGTGAGATTGGAGGAGGTCAGAGGATGCTGCCTCCTTATCCTTTTTGCATTGACCTAATCACATGAGCCCTTTAAAAGCAAAGTGTTTTCTCCAGCTACTAGAAGAAGCGCCTCCAGGATTGAAGCATGAAGGGGACTCAATGTGTGAGAAACTCGTGCTGAACTGATGGAAGGGGCCACGAGGTGAGGGATGTGGAAGGCCTCAAGGTACTGAGAGTGGCTGGCTGACAGCCAACAAGGATATAGGGCCCTCAGGCCTACAGTGGCAGGGATATGAAATTCCAGCCCCAGGATGAGCCTAGGCGGGGATTCGTCCCCTGCGCCTTCAGATAGGAACACAATCTGGCAGATGCTTTGATTTCGTCCAAGGCCCTGCACAGAGAACTCAGCCACCGAAAGCCAGATATCTGACCTGCAGAACTGTGAGCTAATTAACATGCCGAGTAGATGGAGGCCTGAGAGGTGCTGACCTGTGAGAGGTTCTTCACCTAGACTTGGGGGCAGGCATCCTGCTGAGGCTGGCCCTCACCTGGGAGGGGCTGGACCACTGCTCAGCCTCCCTCAGGAACTCCAGGCTCCACTGAGGCAGGTCCAGCACACCTGGACTGCCAGCTCAGTTCCACACAGGCCCTTCTACACCCTTCTTTCAACTGGGGTACACATGGCCGCTTCAGCAGAAGAGAATTTCAGCCGGGGTCTCCGACAGGAGAGATGCTCAGCCAGGTCTCAGAGCCTGTTCTCAGATGAGGTGACTTGAGGCCACAAACTGGACTGCTGCCGGCCTGGTGTGGCTAGTGACATCAGCGGCAGGGACAGACCTGGGAAAGCCAGTGCTGGCTGGGCTGTCCATCTCTGGCTGGGCCAAGCCTTGCCCTGCCCTCAGTGGCCTCCTAGGGCTCTGACCTCTTGGATTTAGAGAAGTCCTTTCTTCTCACCATTTCCTGAAGGTGGGGAGTTCTTCCGTGACGGTGGGTTGACTTCCTTGGATCCTCAAGGTCCCTTCTTGAGGCCCCAGTCATCGCTGCCTGGCCAGGCTCCGTGAGCCCAGAGCCAGGGCGGAAGCCTCTGATGCCTCCCTTGCCTCAGACATCCTCACCAGACCCTCCTCAGCAGCTGTTCTCCATCCCGTGCCCCTCCCCCACCCTCTCTCTCTCTAGGTCACTGTCCATGTCTACCCCTTGGTCTGGGCTGTGGGGAGAGAGAGAGACAAAGGCTGTCCTTCACCTTACCCACGTGCTAGCAGCTTCTCTCTGCCTTCTGTACTCTCCTCTCCCACTGCCCTGTCAGGAGGATGGCACAGAGCTGCTGTTTGCCGTAGGCCCACGGTGAGCTGCCATTTGCCCGGGATGATGCTACTGGCCAGTGACCCATGTGGCTGGCATTTAGTGGCCGCTGCCCAGAGGGGAAGGAAGGAGGGACCCTTTCTCCAGCCATCCAGTGCTGTGAGGCCAAGATTGTGGTGTGCAGATGGTGGGGCTTTATTGCACTGGGTGGGTTATCCCGTGAGTCACGCCACTGCGGCAGCTACATGGGCCTCTCCTGGGACCGCTGTGCAGAGCTGGCCTGGCCCCGGCATGGTGACAGTCTCTTCCTCAGCCTGGCCAAGGCTCGGATGGGGTTCTGGGAGCAGATGGCTGAGTGGGGCACATCCTCTAGGGAGGTCTTGCTGGGCTGGCTGCTGGGCTGGCTGCCGGGCTGCTGAGGCAGGGATGTTCGGGCCTGGGCTGACGGGGTCCTGCTGGCACTGCCTGTTCTGCTGCCTGGCAGAGGCCGCCTGCCCAGGGGCCTGTGGGAGGACGAGACCACGAGAGCCCATGTGAGCAAGCCTGGACCACTCACCCTGCCCGCTGCCTCTGGCAAAAACCTCACTCACCCTGGGGAGGCTTTCCGGGCTTGGGCTGGAGGTGCCGTCCCTGGGATTCCCTTGGTGAGTGGGGACCAGAGCTGGTCCTGGGGAATGAGCTGCAAAGAATGACAAGCTTAGAGAGGCCCAGGAGGCCCCTCCCTGCTTTGCACAGCTGGAAGGGGTGGGCAGTGTGAGCCCAGACCCAGGGCCCCTTCTGTGGGGCTGGGTTTGGGAAGCTCCCACGGCCTGTCCTCAGCCACGAGCATCAAGTGTGGGAAGGCCTGTTTTCTGACACGGCTCCTGATTAGAATAAAAGTATGAAGAGCTATGGAGGAGGATTCTGAGCCAGGAGAAACTGATCCACACCCTCCTCCTACCTTCTCAACATGCGGAAGGCAGCTTCACAGACGCCTAAAGCCCTATGCAGTGACAGCCCGTGGGTGATGAGACACGCTCCTGACAGGTTCCCAGGGTAGAGTGGAAGACCTCTGCTGGGTGGCGGAGGTTGCTGCAGGTCCCTGAGGGCCCACCCTCCCAGGTACGGGGCTGGGCTGCCCACCTTGAGGCCCCCTTGCTGGGCTACCTCCCGGATTCTGGACAACATGGCCTGGAGCCGCCCATTCTCCTCCTGCAAGACCCGGATGCGGATGCTGTTGGCCTGCATCTGCCTCTCCATGTCATCTGTGACGTTGCCAGAGCCTGTGGAGGGACATGCATCTGGGACCCCACCCTTTTGCACCACATGGGAAGGGACCTCAGAGGGCAGGTCCATCCTTTAGGTTCCCTTCGGTGGGCGGCCCACAGGCAGAGGGGAGCTGGGCAGGGCCAGTCCCAGGACCTCCTATCTGACCCTCTCCCCAACTTGCCTCCCCTTCCCTCTCATCAGGAAGGTAACCACAGCATTGCAGAATCTGAGAGCTGGGTGGGACCAGGAGCGCACTAAGGACTTAGCAAATACACAAGGGAACGGCTCCCACCCCACTGTTTCTGGGGTGCCGGACAGACAGAGTGAGCTGTCCAGGGTCAGAGCCAACTCTCGGGTATGGATCAGCGGGAGTCGGCCCCACTGCATTGGTGGTGATGGGTGCTTCCAGCTCATGGTATCACAGACTTGGGCAGGTGGCTACCCCATCTGGGTCTCAACTTCCTGGTCTGTAAAAAGCAGCTGCTACCTGCCTCAAAAGGAACTCTGGTGGTGCAGTGCCTAAGGCATTTGATTGCTAACCAGAAGGTTGGCGGTTCAAATCCACTGCTCTGGAGAAGGAAGATTGAGCAATCTACTTCCCATAAAAATTTACTGCCTTGGAAACTCCATGGGGATCCCTATGAGTCAGAATCAACCCTATGGCAGTGAGCTTGTTTGTTTTTTTTTTCACCTGCCACATAGGGCAGCAGAGAGGGCAACACAGGGCCAGGCACATGGCATGCACTCAGGAGGGTAATTTACCCGGCCACTCGGTTGTGGCAAATCTTCCCGCAGTTCTGCAGATGGACTCGCCCCCACTTTACCATGAGGGAGCTGAGCGTTAGATGGCAGGAGGGCCTGGACAAGAACCCAGGTCGCCTGGCACCCAGTCCTATGCCAAGATAAGTGCAGCACTCCTCTGGGTCATAAACACAAGACAGCTGGGGCTGTACCCCTGGAGCTGGTCCTGTGGTGTGGTTTGGGGAGATGTCAGAAAGGGGGCACCAAGAGGCCAAGCGAGGACTGGCCTTGGCGTGGTTAGGAGTGTGGGCCATAGAGGCAGAGACCTGCGACTGAATTTGGCTGTGTGACCTTGGGCAGTCTCTTCACCTCTCTGGGCTACCATTTCTGCATCTGCATGGAGGATGGCGGTGTACAACCTTGTGTGTCATACATAGGGCCCAGGGGTCAGCTCCTTCCTCCCCAGGGGACTGTACTCCTGACTGCCCTGCTGTACAGCCTGCACCGTGCCCTCTTCCCCTTACTTTGGATCTGGGCCTCGAGCGGCCCGTGCAGGTCCGGGAAGGCCACCAGCAGTCGCTCCCGCTCCTTCTGCTCCAGGAGCTCCCGTTCCAGCTCCGAGATGGTCAGCTGCAGGCCCACTGTTGCCCGCTCCAGGCCTTGCTTCTCCCACTGCAGGCTCTGCAGCAGCTCCTGGGGGAGTGGGAGGCTCAGGCCTGGCTCCCTGGGGATATCCCCAAGCACGCGCGCGCGCACACACACACACAGAGCACGGGTATGAGACAGGTCCCAGGTACTCAGCTGGCTGGAGGGAAGCACCTGCTGGGCCTGGAGCTGGCACCGCCCCTGCTCCCTCTCGTCCTGCAGGTGCCGCAGCTGCTCCTCCACGTGGGCCTGCTGGGCCCCGGCCTCGTGGAGGCTGCCCCGCAGCTCCTCGCGCTCCTGGTCCAAGCTGTCCAGCTGCTGCAACAGGGCTCTCTGTTTGGCCTGCAGGGACTAAGCAGGGGAAGGGGCCAGGAAGGCTGTGTGGGAACAAGGGGGCGGGCTCTCCAGCCACTGAGCCCCCTTCCTTGTGCCGTCTGTGCGCAGGGGGCACAGCAGCACCTGGGCCCTGGCTTGGGCTCACGCTCTGCCTCCCCCATACTCCCTCTGGCCGATGGCCCAGTCACCAGCCTTTGGGATCCAGCTCCAGGACCACCTCTTCCCAGAAGCCTTTCTGGATTCCAACAGGCACATGTGGCCGCCCCACCCTGGACCCCTGCAGCACTTTCCCTGGCCTATGCAACCATCTGGCAGGAGTGTTGTTTGTGATACATCTAACTCTTCCTGGTCTCACCTGGCCTTACTGGTCCCTGGGCCACCACCCCTCCACTTTCAGCTCAGGGCAGGACCTCCGTAAAAGTGGGTCAGCCCAGTATCTGGTGTTCTGTTGAGGAGCCAGTACCCTACCCAGCTGAGGCCCCTCCCTGCCTGTGGAGTCGTCCTTCCTGCAGTCCAGGTGGTAGGCATCTGGCCTCACCTCCTGGTGGCGGACCATGCTGTCAACACGGGCTTTCTCCTTGTCCAGCTCTGTGCTGGCCCAGCGGATCTGCTGGCTGGCCTCATCCAGCCGCCCTGCCAGCAGCTGCACCTGTCCCTCCAGCTGCTGCACCTGCCTCTCCGCCACCGCCCGGAGCTCAGCTTCCTCCTGAAGCTGCTGGGTCTTTGCCTCTGCGGGATTGGGTAGGGGTGAGGAGTTGGGCAGAGCAGCCCTGGGTGCGAGTTTTAGCACTGCCTTTGACCCAGGACAAAATGAGGCTCTGAACCCTGCCCAAGGAGGGTTCGAAAATGGGAGGGGCTCCATGGGCAGGAGGTGACACCCCACTTTGGGCCTTCATCCAACAGTGTGGCCAGCCGTGCCCACTTCCCTTTGTGGCCCCCTTTTTATATCTGCTTCAGAAGCCCAGGGGACAGACGGTGGCTCCTTACCTAGGACCTGCGTGGACGCCTGCTTTTGATTCAGCTCCCCCTCCAGGACGACCACCTTCGCCTTTAAGTCAGTGGTTTCTACAGCAGCCAAGAGAAATGCCCTTCAGAAGCTCCCTTGGGCCTGGCCGGCTGCCTTCATGCCCCACATAACCTGCAGAGGGCAGGCAGTCATCGCCCTGTGGAGGGGCCACGTAGCATTGTAGGACTCGGGCAGTGCCAGGAGAGCGGGGCCCCATCAACCCTGCTTCTCACCAGCTGCCTGCCACGTCTCTACGCCTCTCTGGGCCTCAGTGTCCTCCATGGAGAACAACGAGGCTCTGAGAGGGCAGCAAGTTGCCCAGATCCCTCAGGCCTTACCTTGGTGGGTGCTGGCCGACCTCCCACGCCAGCAGCTGTCTCTCTGTGCCTGACAGCTGCTGCCAACCTGCACAGGCTGTTTTACTTGGCTGGAAGTGCCAGGGGCTCACCTCCCCAGGAGCAAGCCTCCATGACTGGAGTACGTGGATAAATACCCCCAACGCCCTCACCCCTCTGGTGGGCAAGTCCAAAGCACGAGTTTCACAGTGTTCCAGCGTTCCCCAACGGGGTTCAGTTCCGACTGCCACAATGTGACTGGCTCGATGAACACACCCTTTGTTGCTGCTCCCCTTCCCTGTCTATCTTCCCCACTCCCCTGCCCAGATTTCCTTGTCCTCCCACATAAACTACTTGGACCTGAAGCCCCGTCTCAGGGTCTGCTTTGGGAAGATCCTGGAGAGAAAGGGAGAACAATGTGGAACAAAACTCAAAATCGTAAGAAAAAGACCAGGTGTGCTCATCTGATAAAGCCTGGTGAGACCCCTGAGACTATGGCCCCTAGTACCCTTCAGGTCTGGAACTGAACTCCCGTGGCTTCCAGGCAAACAAAAGACTGACATATGTGGTGAACTGTTACACCAGGTAGATACACTCCTTAGAACAATCAATCACGGGAGATCAGAAGGGCAGTATTTGCACAGGAAGGTAGCTCAGGAGGCAGGAATGCATAGGAAAGGACACCAGGAAGAGGTAACTACAGGGAGGAAGTGGGTAGAGAGCTGTTAACATGGTGGGGAACTGTAATGTCACGAAACAAAATGTGTATGAATTGCTGTATGGAAAATGAATTTGCTCTGTAAATTTTCACCCAAATCACAATCAAATTAAAAAAAAAAAAAAAAAAAAAGACTGTAGTAGAGCCCTGGGCCACTAAGGGTCCAGCCTTTGGGGCACAGACCTGCCAGCAACTGCTGCTTGTCACACTCCCGCTCAGCCAGGTGCCGCTCAGCCTCCTCCGCCTGCCGCTGCCGCTCCCCCTGCTCCTGCTGCAGTGCCTGCTCCAGCTGGCCCACTTGCACCCTCAGTCCATCCTTCTGCCCCTCGGCCTCCTCCAGCTGGGCCCTGAGAGGCCCAACAAGCTGAGTGAGGGACCCCACGTGCTTACTGAGGCGCATCAGGTCTTTGCTTTGCTCTGTCACCCAGCGGCCCACGGTGGCGGCTGGCAATGGCCTGAGCCCCATGCTGTCCTGCACCAGCTGCTGGAACTGGCCTAAGGAGGAGGGCAGATTCTGGCTCTGGCACAGGCTGATGATCACCTTGCCCACCTCCTGCAGGCTGCTCTGGACGCTGGTGCAGGCGTCACAGGGAACCAGGGCCGTCTCAACCGTCTGGGAGTGGACACTCCTGGTGTTCTCGGCAGTTCTGGCTGGACGCTGCAGGGAGACTCTGGCAGGGAGGGGGTCCGACTCTTGGCAGTTCTGGGACAAGCCTGGCATTGGGGAAGGAGGCTTGATGAACTTGGCAGTCACAAATGCAGGGCTCCTGGCTGGCTCGCCCTTGGCCGTGGGCTTGGAGGTGGAGATCTCCCCCTGGTTTGTCCTTTTCTGTGATCAGGAAAACAAAGGGAAGACAGGTGAGGTAGAAAGGCCTGGGAGGTGCCCAGGTCCCTGGGGATGTTCTGTGACCAGCCTGCCTGAGGCTCAGACCCACTAAAGCTATCTGACACCAACATGAATGAGAGAACCTTCCCTTCCTTCTTGCTCCCTCCACTTGCTAAGCCAGGGCTTCCTCCTGGTTGCCCCTAGGTTCAAGGCAGTTCTATGCCTGGTACTGGGAAGGTGACAGTGACAGTAACAGCTGCTGGTTAACTGACTCTCATGTCACCATAGCTGTGATCGGCTTTGGTTTCCTCCTGTAACTAAACCAGTGGGGGTGGATGTCTGTCCCGGGGGCGTTGTGAGGATAACCCATACGAGATGTGAGTTCATATGTGAACTGTCATCTACAGTGTCCTAGGGATGCCCCCATTGCACAGATGAACAAACCGAGTTCTAAAGTCCCACGGCATAAACAGCTGAGCCCGGTAGCCCAGACATCCTCCCAAGGATGCGTTCTTAACCACTGTGCTGCACGGGCCTTGTTTGTGAGGCTCTGGAGTTTTTTTTTTTTTTTTTTTTTAATTGTGATTTGAGTGAAAGTTTATAGAGGATGTTCATTTTCCATACAGCAGTTCATACATTTTGTTTCATGACATTGACTGCTCTCTTCCCACTTCCTCCCTGTCACCTCTTCCCTGTGTCCTTCTTTCTCCTATGCACTCCTGCCCCCTGAGCTATCTCCATGTGTAAACATTGCCTTTCTGTTCTCCCATGACTGATCGTTCTAAGGAGTGTATCTACCTGATGTAAATGTTCACCCTATAAAGAAAAAAAAAAAACTAAACCCATTGCTGTGGAGTCGGATCCAACTCATATTAACCCCTCCTTGGGTTTCCGAGGTGGTATCGCCACGGTAGTAGATTGCCCAACCTTCCTTCCGAGGAGTATCTAGTGGGTTTGAACCTCCAGCCTTCTGGTCAGCAGTCAAATGCCTTATGCACTATGCCACCAGAGCTCCTTGCTCACCCTATAGGCCTGTCTATTGTTTAGCTGGAAGCCATGGGTGTGAGTTTAATTTCAGATCTGAAGGGTAATGAGGGGCCATAGTCTTGGGGTCTCACCAGGCTCTATCAGACCAATAAATCTGTTTTTTTTTGTTTTACGATTTTGAGTTTTGTTCCACATTGTTTTCCCACTCTATCCAGGATCTCTTGCACTGATCCCTTTCCGAGTGGCTGAAAGTGGTAGCCGGGCACCATCTAGTTCTTCTGGTCTCATGGTCATACAGGCTGAGGATCACATGGTCCACTAGTCCCTTGGACTAATTGTTTTCATGTATCTTTGGTTTTCTTCATTCTTTTTGCTCTGGATGAGGAAGGACCCATTGTTGTATCTAGAGGGCCGCTTGCAAGCTTTTAAGACCCCAGTTGCCCCTCACCAAAGGAGGATGTAGAACAATGTGTTTGTGGAGTATGTTACGCCAATTGAACTTGATGTCCCCTATGACCATAGTCTCAGAGAGACTCTGGAGTTTTTATACCATACCTGATGGGCAGTGGGGAGCCAGTGCAGGACGTGGGCCCACAGTGGTATGCTAGGAAGCTGGGGCAACGGTGGCCTGGGGTTAGGGTGAGCACCTAGTGCCCCCAACCAGGACTTGGGGGAGGGGATGAGAAAGGGGCCAACCCACCTGGGGAGCTGCCTGCCGGTAGAGCACGCCCACCCTCAGGAGGCTATTCCAGAAGCATCGCACGGTGAGGCCCACAGACATGCAGGGCCCCATGGCCTGGGCCGGCGGCATCGTCTGCTCCGAGCCGAGGTTCTCCAGGTAGCTGGCACAGCTCTGAAGCAGCAGCAGGAGCCTGTGGGCAGAGGTGCCAGGGCAGGCTAGGGCTGAGGCCAGCACACCACAGAACCACGTGCCTCTGGCTCTGGGGGACGGGCCCAGGCCCAGGCCCAGGGACTTGGAGAGGCCAACCCAGAAGGCTCACTTCCTCCAAGAAGCCCTCCCTGAACCCCAGGTTTCACTCAGGGGCGGCCCTTCTTCTGGCCTCCTAGTGGCAGCACGTTTGTTTGGCTGTTTCATATCACTCGGTTCTGCAATCAACAACAGTGGAAGCAGCAGTCAAGACATCAGAAGACGTATCACATTGCGAAACGTATTGCTGCAAAAGGCCTCTTTCAAGTGATGAAGAGCAAAGGTGTCTCCTTGAAAACTAAGGTGAGCCTAACCCAAGTCACAGTGTTTTCAATGCATGTGACAGCTGGCCAATGAATAAGGAAGACTGAAAAAGAGTTGATGCTTTTGAGTTGTGGTATTGGAAAAGAATGCTAAGAGTACCATAGTCTGCTAAAAGGACTAACAAATCTGTCCTGGAAGAAGTACAGCCAGAATGCTCCTTGGAAGCAAGAATGGCCAGACTTTGTCTCACCTACTTTGGTCATGTTGTCAGAAGGAACCATTCCCTGGAGAAGGATGTCATGCTTGGTAAAGTGGAGGGTTAATAA